CCCGGCAGGTGGAAACGGAGCTCTTCCCCTGCCTCAGGCACTTTGGATTGAGGTTCTACGCCTACAACCCTCTGGCTGGTACGGGCTGCAGGGGGCCCAGCTGCCCCTGGGGGGAGGGATTCCTGGCCCTGTCCTATCTCTGCCTCCTCCTGACCGGAAATCCCGGCCTGGGACCTGGGAAGCAGGGAGGACTTTGACCGCAGGCGGGGCTGTCCTCCATCCCTCCTGGCTCCCCGACCTTCCCCCCGAGTCCAGAGCAGCCTCTGGTCACAGTGTGGTCAGCGGGTCTGATGGCGGCCTTCCCGCAGGGGGCCTGCTGACCGGCAAGTACAAGTATGAGGACGAGGACGAGAAACAACCTGTGGGCCGCTTCTTTGGGCATATGTGGGCTGAGTTCTACAGGAATCGGTGAGCTGGGGACCTCTGCATGAGGGCAGGTGGTGGTCTGGGTCCCCTTGGTGTGAAATAGGGAGTCCCTGGGGCTGCTTTCTTGGGGGCCAGGACTCCCCCGGAGCTCAGACCTAGGCCTCTGGATTCCCACCAGCTTTACCGAGCCCCCTTCCCTGCTTGAATATTCCGTGTCTCTGGGGAGGGATTGGGGGCCTTGATTGGGAATGTGGATCCCTGGGCCTTCTGCCAGGTCTCAAGACACTGTCTCTACCCTGGGAAGAGCTCACCCCCTGCCCTCAGTGGGAGGAGAAGCCTGGATTGAGACTAGGGAAACCTGGGACTTGCTGCTCCCCCACAAATAAGTGGCCCTGTCACCTAGCGCCAAGGAATCTAAGTTTGTAAACTCTTGGCATAAAATTGTCATCAATGTCTGAAGGTATAGGTGAGCTGCTGTTGGGCAAGCGTTCCTCCCGTTTTTTACTTTTTAAATTCTGAAAAAATTTATCGAAGTTAATACAGGTCTTGTTCACGGTGAACAGCACCCCATTAGCAGCTGCAGTCCTCAGAGGGGCTGATTTTAGACTCTTACAGCTCTCTTCCCTCTGACATTTTCTCTCTAAAGGATGCACTTTATTGCTGTTTCTTAATTTATCAAATTTAGACATCATCTGTGGACTGATGGAAAGCTCATCTTTCTAGATTTATGAAAGCTGAGTCTCCAAGGTTCATTTCTCTGTATAATCTGCTCGATTTTCCTTGTCTGTTTTTTCCCACCTGGGAGAACAGCAAAGTGAGCTCCATGCACGGGGCTCCGATGCGAGTTTTGTGGAAATGGCCCAGGATTTTTTAAGCGGCGGGGTGTCCAATATTTGGATTCACATGTGCACTGCTGTGATTGAAATCCTAATCCAGGACCCGCCACACCCCAAGGGTCTCTGGTGACCCTGGCCAGGTGTAGGGACCGTCACCCTAGGCAGTGTTTCTTGAGGATCTTTCACACCACCAGGGCCTGGGCCTCAGCCTGGAGAATCGATGCTCTCCGCAGTTTACAGAGCATCGTCAGGTCCATTTTCTCTTCTCCGTGTTGCACTCGGTGTACATGGGGCACTCGGGGCTGGCATGGGGTGTTTCCTTTCCTCACTGAGCAGTGAGAAAAGTGAAGGCAGGTGGCTCAGCCAAGACCAGAGCGAGGACTGGAGCCTGACTTGTCGAGGGGCCAGTCTGTGACCAGGGCTGAGGGGTGGTGCTGTGTTTGCTCCTGGGTCCTGATTGGCGGTTGTGTTGTTCACATCTGGTGAACATGTGAAATGCAAGGATTCTTGCCCACTGCATCCCCTCTCCTCCCACCACTGGACTGAAAACAGCACCCGGATGAAGGGCCCAGAAGCCTACATGGATTCTGGCATGCAAGGATTAAAACCTCGACAAAGAGATGGTGACACCTCAGTGCCTCTGGGACCGGGGTGGGTGCGGCCACCCTGGAGTGACCCCATGGTACTCACCCCTGTGTCACCCTGCCCACCTGCCCAGCTACTGGAAGGAGCACTACTTCAAGGCCATCGCCCTGATGGAGAAGGCCCTGCAGGCTGCCTATGGGACCAGCGCCCCCAGCATGACCTCGGCCGTCCTCAGGTGGATGTACCACCACTCCCAGCTGCAGGTAACCCAGCCGTCCCTGGAGCCTCCACTTCTGCCTCTTCCTTTTTTGGAGGGGTCGTGGGGGTACGTGGAAGAAAGGAGAGGGCTACCCAGTTATGTGGTGATTTCTGAGATTAGTCCTTTCCTTCCTCTTCAGTTTCTCCATGGCCTAGTTCTTTTGGGGGGCAATCCTGTTCTTAACGAAGTTTCTTAAGTGCCACATTACACACACTATTGGTCCTATTAAGTATGATTATCCCAAGTTTACATATGAGGACCTGGCTCACAGAGGCTACTTCACTTGACTGAAGTCCCACGGCTACATGTGGTAGGGCCTGAGCACAGGTTTAACTCTGGAACCTACATGCTTTTAACCAGTAGCAATTATTCCGTCCCTGGCTGCCCACTCTGTGTACCTGGCGGGGTTCCCCTCTCTCCCTGCTGTCCCATGTTTCCCTAACACCTTCCTCCAGCATGGGCATCATACAGTAACAGCTCCCCTTGCTTGAGCACCTGTTAAGTGCCAGGCCTGAAGCAAAGTAGTTCAGAAAATTTTAATTCCCACAATCACCCTGCAAAATAAAGCAAGTCTGAGACCCAGAGAGGTCGAGTAACTGACCCAGGTTTCCCCAGCTGCAGAGTGGCAGAGGTGAGTGGCTCTGAACTCGGGGCTGTCTGCTGAGACTGTGGAGGCAAGGCTTTACAGCTGTTTAAAGCAATGTAAGTTCTTTCTGGAATAATACAGGGTATAACTAGACATCAGATCCCAAGTCTTAGCAGGGGCGAGGCTGGGATGGCGAGTGTGTGACTGGAGTCACTGTGCTGCAGAAGTGTGCTGACACCTGGCCGTCTCCCCTTGCAGGGTGCCCACGGGGACGCCGTCATCCTGGGCATGTCCAGCCTGGAACAGCTGGCACAGAACTTGGCAGCGGCTAAGGAAGGGCCCCTGGAGCCAGCCGTCGTGCAGGCCTTTGATCAAGCCTGGCACCTGGTTGCCCATGAGTGTCCTGACTACTTCCTAGACCTCTCTTGACTTGAGGTGGCCGAGGGACCCTCTGCCTGTCACCTCTTTCATTCTCTCACCCTGGTTGGTTCTGGCATTAAGCTACTTTAGCCTTTCCTCATCATCCCAGTTCACAAACTGTTTATTTCCTATATTCTTGCAATACTCTCAGTTGCCCTCATGATGTGAAAAGGCCAGGGCTGTGATCTACTCGGTGTTTCCTCTCTGAATAAAGCAGGCACTTGATGTGGCCGTAGCCGAGGCCCAGAGCAAACCTGGTGAATCTGTTTCCTCTGCTGCTGGCAGCCTGTCTCCTGTCCTCCCCGGGGGCATGGTGAGAAGGGGCAGGAGTGTGGAGTAGTCTTCAAAGGGCAGAGGCAGTGGGAGGGTCTTTCCAACCTCCTACCCTGAACCCAGCCTGACCTCTCCACTGCAGCGCTGGAGGTGGCCCTTACTTTTCTACACACAGAAGAGAAAGAAGGCCAAATGCCCTGAAGTGGATCTACTCTCATTTCGAAATGCCCTCACTGAATATTTACAAACAGAACTGCTGGGGCAGAAACCTACCATTAGAGTTGTCACCAAGAGAAATAAAACCTCCCAGGATGCTGGGGAACATTTTAACAGATGCTCTCAAGTTCAGCTGTGGCTTTACTCGTCTTAGTTGAAGCCTCCTGTCTTCTGGTCACGCAGGATCCTCAGCCCTGGTTTAAGAGTGTGTGCATGCACGTATGCACGTCAATGTGGCTGGGCAGGAAGGGCAGCCAGGGGGCCTGCTGTCCTCAGCAAATCCCATTTCAAACAAGGGGCACTGAGAGCCAGGCAAAAGGAAAAGCCCCAGCTCTGGTGGCTGGTCTCACGTCCCCAGAGTCACATGGCCACGGCTGTCACGTAGAAGCCAGTGCTGGAAGCTGGCTTTAGAGGTGAACAGTGGGAACCCTGGGAATCCAAACAAAAGCCCAAACCCCGAGGCCTTTTTTCTGAGAAAAGTCTCCTTTTCCGTCTACAGGGAGACACCCTGCTGACGAAGTTTTATTCTTTATGGAACAACAGTCTGTCCCTATTGCCCTCCCTCGTCTTGATCCACAGCAGAATAACAGCTGCTGCCCCAAGAGGGGTGGCGGCAGTCCCGCGGGTCCAGTCGAGATGAGACCTGGATCGGCCGGGAGGCCTTCAGTCCCCAGTACCGTCAGTTGTCATCTTCTTGTTCTGATTCTTCTTCTGACTCGGGCGCGCTCTCTGGCAACTCATTTCCCATCTGCTGGAACCTTCCGGATTGTGCATCCCACATGTATTTGACGGTCACCTTGAATTCGGCCATCTCATACCCGAAAAGCTTCTGCGAGAGACAAAGGGAACAAAGAGTTAGGGGGAACGAGGGTATCACAAGCGTCTGCGGCCCCGCCCGCCACAGCCTGCAGCCGCCAGAGGGGGCGGACTCACCAGGATGCGGGCCTGCTCTGGGGTCAGCACGTCGCCCTCTTTGCACACCTCATAGTCGGACAGCAGGGTCACCACGCCTGCAAAGAAGGGGGCCCCTGAGCAGTTCCTGCTGACAGAGCTTCCCGCCCACTGCCCAGAGCTAGGAGAAAGCTGGCTGGCCCCCCGCACATGCCAGGGCAGCTCAGTCAGACGTGTCCAGCTGCCTGGGAGGGTTTTCAGGGCAGTGACCACCTCCCTCATTGTCCCGCAGTGCTGTGTTCTGGCTCTAAGTCGCTGTCCACTTCCCCCCAGCTATGAGGCGGGCACTCTCAGCCCCATCTTCAAATGAGAGAATGGAGGCTGGGAGAACCCACTCAGCCAGGAAGGGGAGGGGGGCCTGTCGGGCTTGGGGGCCTGTGCTCTTGGCCTCGAAGCTGGGACCTTTCAGCTCCAGGGACTTCCCCGTACCTCTCCTGAGGGCAGTGGGCAGGCCCAGCTGCCTCAGCTGTGGCTCCATGGAGTGGGGGAACTGCTCCAGGGGCCCTGGGTCCAGGCTCACGGTGAACGCTGCTTTGTTCCCAGCTCGGGCGTAGTCCATCTCTGTGTATTTGGTGAACCACCTGAGGGGAAAGAGAAGTGGAAGGAGGGGAGGTTCCTGACTGGCCCACCCGCCCACCTACAATCAGGCTCCCCGTGGGTCTCGCCTCCCCTCCCCGTCCATCTCAGCTGCTGGCTGGCAGCCAGCCTGGAGCACCGTGCTGGAGAATAACGACTCAGTAAACCGGGTTCTAGGAAGCAGTTTTTCCTTGATGCCTCCACTGTACAAAGCCCCTAGATTATTCCTTCCCTAGAGTCTTCACCAATCTTTCTCTTCCTTACCACTCCTCAAAAACACTTACTCGTTCACTTCCTCCTTAGTGCGATTGGTGAAGAGGAGACCAACTTCACCCCTCAACTTCTTGCTGACCTAGGAAACAAACGGAGGGTCGGCTCGGTCACATTAGAGCAGTGGGTCTCACCTGGGGACAATTTTGCACCCCCCTCCCCCCAGGGGACCTCTGGCAACATCGGAGACATTTCTGGTTGTCCCAGCTGGGAGGGGCACTACTCTCTGTGTCTGGAGGTTAAAGGAGAACCGGAGCTTTAAGCCAGGCCTCGCCCTCCCTGATCCTGGCCGGGCCTGATGGCCGGAGAGCGTGTTGTGAGCAGCGGCCTGGCCCCGGCCCCTCTGGAGAGGGCCAGCCTCACCTGGTGCAGGTTGTCTTTGTACTCGTCAGATGGGCTTCGACCCAACGCCACCATCATCACTTTGTTTTTGCCAAAGAACATCCTACAGAGAAAAAGAGGGCTCCGTGAAGGGGGTGCCCTACCCAGCCCTCCCCTCAGTTAAGTGCTTGCCAGCTCTAGTCCGCGGGCGCCCGAGCCCAGGCCTAGGCTGTTCTGTAGCGGGAGGGGTGGCCAAAGGCTCCCACTTCTTCCATGTGGCCCTACCCGCTCTGTCCCCAGCCCAGGGTCTCTTTCATTATTTTCCTGCCACAGACCTGACATTCACAATATTTTGTCTACCAACCCACTGTGAGTGTTATGTGAACCCGCCCCCTGTGCTGCCCTGGCTGGAAGTGCAGATGAGGCACGTGCGATGGTCTGAACCAGAGCTGGTGCAGCAAGAGACAACCAGAGTCATCACCTGCACTGTCACAAATCCAGCCCAAGGACAGGTACTCGCCAAACGGCTTGTGCAGCCTGCTCTCGGGTCATTGTGTGCCTCCTGGAGCACATCAGCCATGGGGATAGGTTCTAAGACACGCATCGTTAGGCGATCTCGTCGTTGTGCGGATATCAGTGTTCTTACACACACCGAGATGGCATAACCGACCTCGCATCTAGGCTATGTGGTACTAATCTTATGGGACCACTGTTATGTATGTGGTCCGTTGTTGACTGAAACATTGTTGGACAGCACATGACTGTATTGACATTCTAAAATTGACGAGATGTTCCTAAAAGGATCAGACCCCAGGGTGAAGGGAGCCCCTTCTCCTGGAGGAATCACTCATCAGACATCCCTTGAGCAACTATCAAGTCCTGTCCCTCAAGAAGCTCAGTGCAAGACCAGCTTTAATGCTGAAAAAGCGCCCTTCAGTGGGAGTGGCCCTTTGCCCTTATTAAGGTACCAGGTACCCAAGGGTCAATACTTGCCCCTGTGCTTTGAGAGCAGCCTGGCCCCTTCCCCACTCTTCCCACCGCCTGCTCACCGGCTGTGCTTCCAGGCGTTCCGGATGTCCTTCAGCTTGTTGTTCCTCATGTTGGCCACGGAGAAGATGAAAAGGTACTTGTACGTGTCCACACATTTCCGAAGCTGTGGGACAATTCATGGGGCTCTGGAGTTCAAGGGGCAGCACGAGTTGGGCAATACTCTGGCCTCAGATGGGAAAGAATCTGCTCTAGATTCTACAACTGTGGAAGTTGAGAGCTGCAGTCCTCTAATCTAGCTGTCTCCTCCTCACCTCCATTACTGAAGCCAGGATCCCTAAGGATAGGGGCTCCCCTGAGGCCAAGCAGACATGACCTCAAAGGGCAGGGGAAGCTGAGCCATGGGTCAAGATCCCAGTCTTCCCACATTCCTGACTTATCTGTGGGCAACAGTGGAATCCACCACTTCTCTTTGCCTTGTCCATTAACTGCTGACAACCTAAAAATACTCAGCTACGCTAGGAAGCCTCCTTATTTACTCATAAGGGGAGGCAGCTCAACGGCCCTTCTCCACCCCCACGTTGCTGGCTGCAGCCACGATGAGGTGGTCTCAAAGAAACAATCTGTGCGGGAGGAGATGCTGCTCTCAGCCAGCCTGCAGCCCTGAAGCAGTGCAGACAGCGGGCTGGTGCATTTGCCCACAACTGGTAACTCCCCAGCTTTCTGACATGGAACAGGCTAGCAAATCTCTGTGAGCTTCAACTACCCAACTGCATAACAGTGATAACGTCACCTCGCATCTACCCAGAGGGATGTGGTGAGGATGGAGTGAACAACACATACGAAACGCTCAGCACCGAGCAGGGCATAGAGTAAGAGCTCAGTGAAAGCTGGAAATCATTGCTGTGGGAGTTTTTACTGGTGCTGCTACTGGAAGAAAAAGGCCTGCATCGGCAGCTGTTTTTGTTTTTTTTTTTAACAGTATGTTTCCCTGACAAACAGCCCTACACCCACCTTTATAAACCAAACACAAGATCCGGAAAAATAAAAAGAATGAGCTATTACCTCTTCGATCAGGTTCTGTTTCAGTTCCAAGCCTTTCTTGGCAGTTTTGGTTAAGGAAACTAATACAAAGAAGAAAAAGGAGATGATGAAAAACAAATCTGGATGTCCTGGAGACTCCTTTTCTTCTCCCTGGCTGCTCAGCTGGACCGAGCCACTCTGAGGAAGGGCAGCAAGGCTGATGCAGCCACTATTGGCACACAAGGCTATTCCTGGGGTCCTCAGAATGCCTACTGTCTAGCATTCCTGAGCCTGGAGACCCTTTGATATATTTTCTGTTGCTTAGACAAACTAGGTGCTCCTCAGCCCTCTTAGGCTAACCTAAAAACCCCTAGTGAAGTGTGGGGGCAGGGCTTGTTCCTGCTCTTGGAGCGCTGTAAGCGGCAGACCTAGACTTGGAACACCATTCCCCGAAGGTAACTCCATGGGTTGCTTATTCTCTTTCTTCAGGTTTCTGTTCATTTGTCACCTCATCAGAGAGACCGTTTCTGGCTACGTTACACAAAATAATGTCACCTCTTTCTGTTACTTTTTCTCCATGGGACTCACGACTGTCTGACTTGATGAGACTTTTGGTATTTGGGGGAGATATGTATCCCATGACTAAAACGTTAAGTGCGATGAGTGCTCTAGGCCTTTCTTGTTGTAACTGCTATATCCTCCAACGCCTAGAGAGTTCCAGGCCCCTAAATATTCGTTGAGTGAATGTGCTGGAGAGCCAGGGTGGGAGAAGCCAAAATTGTAAAGATGGTCAGGAATGGTTTCTTAGAAGGTGCCCTATGAACTGAGAACCGAGAAAGAGCCAGCCATGTGAAGGTCAGAGCATAAAGGCACGCCAGACAGAGAGAACTGCAAGTAACAAAGGGCAGGGAATAAGCCTGTGCTGAAGGAAAGGAAAGGCGGCCAGGGTGGCGGGAGCGCAGAGCTCAGAGAGAGAAATTGAGGTGGGAGGGGTGGGCCAAAGCGAGATGGGGCGCAGCCTGGGTGTTCAGAGGCTGTTTGTCGGCCCAGTCAGCCTTGGAAGAGCTCTCAAGGAGCTCTCCGATCCCTTGACCCCACCACGCTCCAGCCCTCTCCGATGCTCCCGCCGCTCCGATGCCCCCATCCGAGCTCGCAGCGAGCCCGCGGAGCTCCTCGCCGAGGTCCCGGCGTCCCATTCCGTCCTCTCGAAACACCCCACCACAGCTGACAGCCAGCCGGCGGCACTGCCCACCGAGTCCCAAAGCCCCCTTCGCCCACCTTTCTTATCGCGCTTAGATTTGGGCATCTCGCTGCAGACACGTGCGGCGGAAGACGGTGCTGCCTGTTAGGACCCCGGCGGCGCGGGGAACTCTGGGATGGCCCTCGGGGGCTGCCCTCGCGCGTGCCTGACTCAATCTGCGCTACGGCCCCCTCCTGCTGCTGGCCACCGCCTGCGCTCTTCCCCGCGTCTCCAGGGCGATTTCTCGCCCGTCCGGGGTCCTCCGAGTCCTGAGCGCCCCACCCGGGACTTCGCGTGCCGTCCCAACTCTATGGTTCCGCGGAGGCGGGGCCTGCGGCGCGGTGCATGCCGGGCCGGCGGCGGGCGGGACCGGCCTCCCATCATGGCGGCGGCGGCGGCTTCCCGGTTCTGGTTCTGGGCTGCCCTGCTTGTTCCTGCGGCCGCGGTCTACGAAGACCAAGTGGGCAAGTTTGATTGGTGCGTACGTGTCGGGCCTCTTCGGGAAATATGTGGCTATTTTCCAAGCACCTGTCTTCTGTCGGCTAAAGGGAGGGAGGTTATCGTTATCATGTGGCAGAATTGGCTGCGTAACTTGCGGAGCCCAGTGCAGAATGAAAATGTGGGATCTCTCGTTCAAAAATTAAGAGTTTTAAGGTGGCGACAGCACAGCATGCAACCAAGTGTTGGGGGCGCTTCTAAGCCGGTCCTTGTGTAACTATACAGGTCGCAAGCCGATGCAGCCGGCCCTGCTGTTCAGGCACGCTCGGGGTTCTGGTCAGAGGTCACTGTTCCCTCCTCCCCCGCCGGGCCCCGTTTCTGTGGCCGTCAGGTTTCTGATCCACTGTGTGTCACAAGTCGACAGCCTGCAGTGAACTCTCATTCCTCCTCGAATTGGCATCTCTTGGGCTTGTGAACAGGGGTTTGGGTTTTATTGAGTCCTAAACTGAGTCCTCTTTCTCCTCCCTTCCAGCTCAGGACAGGGCCGTCCAATACTCACATCAGCCCCTAAGTGCCATTCATTCGTTCACTCACTCATTCACCCACTCACTCACTCACCCATCCCTTCCCTTAAGTCCCCGGAGTTGGCTTGCTTTTGTTTGAATCTCAATTTTGTCACTTAAAGGTTGTGTGATCTTGGGAGGAGACTTAACCACTCTGTGCCTGGTTCTTCATCTGTAAGATGGGTTTACAAATAGTTCATTACTTTCTACAGTAGCTGTAAGGATGAATGAGATAATTCCTTTAAATTACTTAGCACAATACCTGGCTCCTTGAGTGCAGTCAGTAAATGTTGCTCATTATTACTAATCAGGGAACACGATCCTTCAGAGCCCAGCTCAGCTATCTTCTCCTCTGTGAAGTCTTTTGTGTCTCAGACAAATTGATTGATGTATTTGTTGAGTGCTTGTGGTGGGACAGATGTTCTAGATGCTGTGGATACAGAGATGGGAAGGAGCTCAGTCTAGCGGGGCAGATATATAAGTATGTGATATAAGACGGTGTAACAAATGCAACGTAAGTCACGTTTTTAATGATGTGGGAAAATGCGTAGTATGATATGTATATATTACACGTATGCAGAATATATGATATTCCAATTAAACAGAATATTAGGTATATGCAATTTACAAATTGAGAAATAAATAGAAGGAAATACACCAAAACATTAAAAAGTTTATGGTCGTGGTATTTTAGGCATTTTTCATTTTCTTTTTTATACTTTTATGTATTTTTCACATTTTCTACAGCGAGCAGGCATTACTTTTATAGTCCAGATAAAGGCAGCACTTAGTTTAAAAGAGAGCATGGGATTTAGAGTCAGAAGGTCTTAGTTTTGTGGTCTAGTTCTGACAGAGATTAGTTGATGTCAGTAGACATTGATTTACTTACCTGTAAAATGAGAGTAATAATGCTTGTTCTACATACGTCAGATTGTTCAGTGCGTACAACGAAAAAGTATGTGAAAATGCAGGTAGAAACTGTCAAATGTCATATAAGCTTGTCTCTCTACCGGGCTTAGTCTTTTCTTTTTTTGAAAAAGTAGAGCAAACAACATCACAACAAGAGAAATTCAGTGTAAACGTCATGTGTGTTTAATTAGCTAGTGGTTGCCGTACTTCTTAATTAAAAAGAATGTGCAAGCACCTCCTGTGTATTTGATAGTATCCATGCAAAGCTAGTATGTTCCATTTATGCTTAGGTAGGAGTGTTGAAAGTGATGGGATATATTCCAAGGAAAATATGAATAATGAGTCAAATGGATCCTGAACATGGTGTGAGCTAGAAAAGGCTGTAGAGAACAAAAGGCCTGACCCAGTCTCTGGAGTTTTGTTGGGAAATTGGCATCATTTTTTCTCCAGAGGTCGTGAAAGTAGAAGGGAAAGTTGGATTGTATGCTCGTTGACAACAGGGTTTGTGTCTCTTCTGTCGCATGTAACATGAGTGTCTAGTCCCACTATTATCGAATACAGAGAGGACTGTAATGTTTGTTCTAGTGGGATTTAGGCCACGTGCTCTCTTGGGTGTCACTTATCTCGAGCAAAATATGTGCTTGCATTTAGAAGGAAGACTGTCGCGTTTCTTATCTACTAGGGGGTATTCTCTCTTCTTGTTCCCTTTGCTTCTGACTACATTGCATAGAAATCTTGCTTTTGGTCAGATCTGTTTGTTAACAAACATTTCTCATACGTTCTAAGATAGGTATGATGGTGATAACCTCATGTATTTGTGCAGTTGCCTTTTTCCAAAGTATTTTCTGCAGTGGTGGTTTGGGCCCTTTACATTTATTTCCCTGTTCTCTCTCCCCAGGAGACAGCAGTATGTTGGGAAGCTCAAGTTTGCCTCCTTGGAGTTTTCCCCTGGATCCAAGAAGTTGGTTGTGGCCACAGAGAAAAATGTGATTGCAGCATTGAATTCTCGGACCGGGGAGATCTGTGAGTGAACTGTGCAGACGTTAGCTCGAGATGGAATGGCTGACGTAGTGGATCCAAAAGGCCTGTGGCTTGTGACGTCTGCCTGGCTGATTCCCAAATTAGGGACGAGTCGGCCAAAAGAGGGATCTCTTACTGGATTCTGATACCTTTTTTCTTAATATCTTGTCATCTTTGAATACTTAAGATACTCCTATAATTGGCCTTTGTAGTTTATTCCGTAAGCCCAGGTCTTGAGTGTTCTTGAATAAGATATTGCTGCAAAAAACGCATTAATCAGTTTTGCAGTAAAGGTTGGAATATTCTCCGTAAATTACTTACACTGCTTTTATGGATGTTTTCGGGCACTAAAATCATGGAAATATAATTTGTCACTATTTTTCTGGTGAATTGTATGGATTTTGTTAATTTTGTCATTGTTTATTTATGTTTGATGGTAGTGGGTGGGCACAGGAAGTACAGGGACCTCAGACTGGGACAGTAGTGGCTCCTGTCAACCCCTCCTCCCCTCGTTACCCAGTGAGTGGAAGTGGATCATTGCCAGTTAGTTGTAATCCTTCCCTCCCTTGAAATAAAATTGGACACCGCTGTGCAAATGAAGACCTCTTAAGTTTTCTCCTACCCGTCTTCTTGGCTCCCTCTCTCCGGTTCCTAGTAATGTCTGACTCTCGTGTCTCTTAGTGTGGCGCCATGTTGACAAGGGCACGGCAGAGGGGGCTGTGGATGCCATGCTGCTCTACGGACAGGGTAAGCAGAGTCCGGCTTTGTCTCTGTCATGTTGTCAGCTCCATCTCCCTGCTCCTTGGTTCCTTCCTTTTTACAGGGTCTGGTAGGGAAAGAAGAAGGGGTGTTCCTGGCAGGAAAGGACAGGTATGCAGATAGCTTCTATTTGCTCTCATCCATCAGAGGAGAGGCCACTGCTCATAGGCCCTAGGAGGCTCAGCTGAGTAGTTTGGGAGATGACTTCACTGTGGTCTTTTCTCTTCTAGATGCAATCACTGTGTCCAATGGAGGCCGGATCATGCGTTCCTGGGAGACTAACATCGGGGGCCTGAACTGGGAAATTACCTTGGACAGTGGCAGGTAGAGGGGAAGAAGCTGTGTTTCATCTTGACTTGGTTCAAGGCTTTGCTGGAACGCAGATCTGTGTGGACAGCGACTCCTGGCCTTTTGGCTTTTTCCCCAAGGACCACAACAGAGGCAAAGAGCAGCAAACACCCAGTTTTTGCTGTTCTTGAGGTTATGGAACACGTGTGTTTACTCAGCCAGCACTTCTTTTGAGCACCTATTAGATGCAGAGCTCTGTGCTGGGGGCAGCGTGTAGTCTTTACTTGAATGCTTGTCCTAATCTTACGTGACTTGAGAGCTTCGCCATGTTCTAGATATAAGAACATAATATGAAACTTCCAGTGTTTTAATTTTTACATCTAGAGCTACTGTTACATCTTGCTAAAGTTGTTTAAATGATAGGATCGCTTGCCTTAGCTTATACATCTTCTGGTAGTAATTCATTTGGTAAACGCTTGGTGAGCCCCCAGGCAGTGGGAACACACGTGTGAATGCGAGAGTTTCTGTCATCCTGGAACTTGTTGTTGGGGGAGGCAGGCATGTAGACCAGTAATGACAGTACTGCCTGACGGGTGCCATGATAGAGAGTTGGCCTGGTTGCTGTGAAGTCCCGGGAGAAGGAGGGAACAACCCTTAGGCGATTCAGGGGGTTTCTGGGAAGCAGTAGCCAAGTGGTTGAAAGTGCAGTCTCAAGTCAGCTAACCAGAGGCGGAACCAGGATTAGGATCCAGACGTGTTTGACTCAAAGCCTATTTTCATACCTACCAGGCTACAGTGGTGGTGGTGGTCTGGATTGTCTCCTCTAGCCTGAGGCTCTGGGGGCTCGGGGCAGTGCTCACCCCTGTCCCTGTGCTCAGTTTCCAGGCACTTGGGCTGGTGGGCCTGCAGGAGTCAGTGAGGTACATTGCAGTCCTGAAGAAGACCACTCTTGCCCTCCATCACCTCTCCACTGGGCACCTGAAGTGGGTGGAACATCTCCCAGAAAGGTGAGGCTGCCCTCCCACCAGGTGCCGGCTACCTGGCCCTGCTTTCTACAAGCCCCTCTTTCTCCTTGAGGGTGGAAGCATTTGCTTTGATTCAGGCTTACCTTGTGTTGGCGTCCTGGGTAGCCTGTTGGGCTCACTCAATCTGGGCCTGAACTCCAAGGCCCTGGCTACCTCTGAAGTTTCCTTTGCAGTGAGAAAACTCCAGCTGGTCACTAGAGCCAGTCAAGCCTGGGGCGTAGCACCCGCTCGTGGTCATAGGACTTTGGGCCTTTTGACTTCTAGTTCAAGTCAGACTGAGCCTTTCATTCATTGTAAGATAAGAACAA